ATTTGCAGCATTTTAAGGGTTTCAAAATCTATTAAAAAATATTCTTTAGGAGCTGGGCTGAGCCTTCGTATTATTTCAGAGTTAAAAGGGTAATGGACATATTATCTTTGACCCTTGTAATCATCAGTGTATCAAAGGATTCCTTCCCAATTTTAATTACAAACTGTAATAATATAGCTCTTATAAATCAGACAAATAAACCATACATGGACACATATATTCCTTTACTTTTTACATTAAGTCTATTATACAAGATGCTGCTTTATTTTTTGTCCGAGGAAAATCTCTACTTACATAGGAAAAAAACCCATACTTCGCAAAATTTGGCTGTTCACTGTAGAACTTAAGAATGAGACAATAAAACAAAAAATAGCCAAACATTTAGCTTTAGTAACGCCAGTTCAGAAAAACACTTTCACTATTACACGAAAGAAAAACTTGAACACAATTTTAAAATACAAATTTCAAAAAGTCTGAATGCAAATAAGAATATTCAGTAAACATTACAATTTACCATTTTGTATGTCTATGTCTTATGCTTAAAGCATCTTATTTGTGGGCTCTAAAGAATATTTTAAAGAAACGACAAAAAACATTGAGTTATTCCAACTATTCTTTTAAAGAATAAAAGATTAAAGTAGCAGATCTCCTTTAGTTTCTTACGTCACTAAAGCAGGTAGGCAAAGATTTACAAAAGCAGTCATGATATTTTTTTCAGAAATATTTTCAATAATGATAAATATTTGATAGTTTAACTGATATTTCATGTAATTAAAGAACAAAAAATATTTTAGAATGAAAAATAATTCATTTCAAAGACATTATCCAAATCTTTGTACGCTCAAGATATCATTTTGTTTTTCCTTGTAACTACAAAAAAATGCAGAATAATCTCTCATGCAAGTAAAATAAATAATAATTTGAAGATAAGATTATGCTTAGGATATAGCTTCTGAAGAGACATAATAAAATAATTTATAACATATAATAAAGCAGAACTATAAAATGCCAAGAAAAAGGAAATTGCACTTACATCCACAGCTCTTTTAATAAAAGGTATCTGTGTGCCACTGTCCAGATCTTCATTTATAATAAGCCTTCTAGCCCACTGACCTGCCCTGACAACACCACTACCATGAATTAAAACCATCAGTTTCTGTGGATTTGTCAAAGCATCCTCACTCATAAAGATAAAACTTTTTGGTTCACTCTCT